AAATGCAAATCAAAACTACTCTAAGATTTCATTTCATGCCAGTCAGAATGGCAGTTATCAAGAATACAGACAACAATAAGTGTTAGTGAGGGTGTAGGGGAAAAGCCACACTGATACATTGCTGGTGGGACTGAAGATTGGTGCAACCAATCTGTAAAGCAGTATGGAGATTCCTTAGAAAACTTGGAATGGAACCATCATTTGAGCCAGCTATCCCATTCCTGGGTCTATACCCAAAGGACTTAAAATCAGCATAGTATAGTAATGCAGCCATATCAATGTTCATAGCAGCTCTGTTCATTGTGGAACCAACCTAGATGCTCTTCAGTAGATGAATGGATAAAGAAACTGGTATATATACACAATGGAATATTACTCAGCATTAAAAGATAATAAAATTATGGCATTTGCAGGTAAATGGATGGAGTTGGAGAATATCATGCTAAGTGAAGGAAGCCAATCCCCAAACACCAAAGGCCGAATGTTCTCTCTGATAAGTGGGTGCTGATCCTTAAGAGGGAGTGGGGAGGCGTGGGAAAGTGGAGCAACTTTGATTGGGCAAGGAGAGGGAAGGTTGGGGAGGGTGCATGGGAGCAGGAAAGATGGTGGAATGAGATGGTCATCATTGCCCTAGGTACATGTATGACTGCACAGATGGTGCAATGCTACATCGTGTACAACCATAGAAATGAAAAATTGTGCTGCAATTGTGTACAATGAATCAAAATGCATTCTACTGTAATATATATACCTAATTAAAATAAATAAATTAATAAAAAAAGAAAAATACTATGTTAAATACTTTTTAAAAATTTTTGAATGGAAAAGGTATAGTAGAGGTCTTTCAATGCCCTCCCTACAAGCTAATGTAGTTAAAAAGTTGGTGTACTGGGCTACAAGTGTAGCTCAGTTATAGAATATGTGCCTCATGTTTATGAGGTCCTGGCTTAAAAAATTTTTGGTTGTATCTTCTCTATTCATGTCTCTGTGTTTTATTATGCACATATTTATCCATAAGTCTTTTGCTTTCCTCTCTTTTTCTACCTCCTATTTTATCATTAATATATTCTGTGCTGTATTCCCTCCCTATTCCCTTGCTCCTTTGAAGGCTTTAGATTCTGTTGGTGAACTTCAATTGTGAGAATTACGTTCTGTTAGATATTGGGGCCAGCTAGCAGCAAGAACAGTCTTTAGCAAAGTACAAGTAAACAGTACAATTTGCCTGGAAAGGCTTCTGCTGGGCCTGGGATAAATCTGGACCTCTGCTGATACCCAGTGTATCAGTAATGGCTGGTGGAGTGTCTGAGGGAAGACTGAGCAGCAGTGAGCAAGAACACAGCTGTAAGCACTGAGATTAGGAATAGGATGAACTGACTGGAAAGAAGGGTGGAGTTGTAGACCCAGGGAAGCTGGGATAAGTGATGAGATGGGTCACTATTTTTTTTCTTTTACTGCAATAAACCAAACATTTAATTTAATTCAGAATAAGAGATAAAGAATAACTCTTCAATAAAATATATAAAATTGTACAATGTACCCTTTCAAAGGGATTGAAGTGTACTGGGGGAAGGGAGATGGAAACCAAGGTGAAACACCACCTGCATATCTATACCGGCTGTTTGATAACATCATTTTTAGCAAGTTAAAGGATGGCTTTACCCTCTGCCCCCAAAATGTTAAAAAGTGTGGAAACTTTTCCTAATAAGTTTAGCACATACAATAGGTACACACACAGAGAAAGCATGATTTTTTTTTTCCTTCCTGGTTCTACTAATTAGTTCAATAATATTTCACATCTAGGTAAGATATTTGTTTTTTTTAAGCAGAAAATTACTACACTTTCATACCCCCCCAAATCATCTTTACACTGTGTGAGTTGATGTACCTAGTATTTCATAGTAATCATCAATGCCTTCTGTACTCTTTAATTTTTTGCTCTCTGATGACCCGAAATGGAGTTAAATAGCACAGCACTGAGAGAAGTTAGGAAGTATTTATTTCTGTTTTCTACCTTGCCCTGGGGTAGTCTCAGGATTACTCTCACCACCTTTTTTTCAAGCTTATGAAAAATAAATGATAAAGCCAACAATATGGAGAAGGAGGAAAATAGAGTCAAATATGGTAGCATCTCACAAGCTTTTTCTTATGCATATAAAATGCAAATGTGTTATAATATCTCATTTATTTGCCAGAAGCTCTCCATTATCTACTTCCTGTATGCATCCTAATTCTAGTACTTGATTTCCATAAGCAGAAGTCAACTCAGCCTATCAAGACCACCAAATTCGCACCAATTTGCAAATAACCTGTCTCCCGCTTTAAGAAAACACAACAAATGGATTTACAGTCTCTTTAAGGTGATATGTGTTTATAAATTTTGCCTTTCAAAATAATTTGAATTTTTACATTTACTGTATAAAGATCTTATATTTTATCATATATATGTATATATATTAAAACTGCCAGAGCCAATTTTCGTGAAAGGAGAAGGGGACATTTAGGATATGACGCCGAGTAAAGAGGACGTGGTGCCTCCCATCTAAAGAAGAAATTCGAACTAGGACTTGGGGCCCTTGGGCCTAGACACTTTGGACGGTGCCTGAAATTTCGTTGTAGGAGGACTGGGTTGGGCGCCTTCTTTGAGAGAGAGGTGAATCCTTTTAAACGAATATCCATCCTGGATTCTACGCGGTATCCCACTGGCGTGGCATAGAGTCGGATGGGCAGGAGGGGAAGAGAAGGTCTTTGGAAAAGGTGGGAGGCTCCGGATAGGGACACTGCTTGCAGGGGCGAGTTGATGGGGAAAGGGAGACCGAACCGGGAGGGGCAGCCTAGATTTAGCTGCCATCTTCAGCTTTTCCAGTTCTGCCTCCTGCAGTCTTTTTGCCTTGGTCCTGCGGTTCTGGAACCAGATTTTGACCTGGGTCTCTGAGGTTCAGAGAGCTGGAGAACTGTGCACGCTCTGATGGAGAGGCGCCAGGAGCTGGGATGTGGCGAAGAGGCTGGCGATTGGTCTTGTGTTTCCTCAGGGTGCAGGTGGTGGAGCTTCCCTCTAGACGGAGACGGGTCACCATTAAGAGTTGAACTGTGTTGCTCAAAAAGATGTTGAAGTCCTAATTCCCAGTACCTCAGAATGTGATCTTATTTAGAGATAAAGTCTTTATAACTAGTTAGGATGAGGTCGTACTGCATTCAGGGATGGGCCCTTAGTCCTGTATGACTGGTGTTCCTATAAGAAGTCAGCCTGTGAAGACACAGAGACAAAATGCCATGTGCAGACAAGAGGTAGATACATCCTACATGATGTGGCCACAAGCCAGGGAGAGGAGAAGGCAATATGAAGACAGAGCGGAAATTGGAGGGAGTGAGATCACTAGAAGTCGGGCCTTTTGGTGGTGATGGGCCACCAGAATCTGGAAGGAGCAAGAAATGCATTCTCCCCTAGAGCCTTTGGTGGAAATGTAGCCCTGCTGACACTTTGATTTCAAACTGATGACATTTAGAACTGTGAGAGAATAAATTTCAATCATCTTATGCTCCTGGTTTCTGGAAATTTAGTATGCACCCACAGGAAAATAATACAAATGGCTAAATGAAAAAGACAATAAGAAGCATTGACAAGGATATTTTGAAATTGGAATCTTCCTACATTGCTTGTGGGAAACAGCTGCAGTTCCCTACAATGTTAAAAATAGAGTTAGCATCGAAGACCTGAGAATCTCACACTTCCATGTATACCTAAGAAAAACAAATTTATATGTCTACACTAAAAATTGTGCCTGAGTGTTCATAGCCTCTATTCATAATGGCCAAAATGTAGCTACAGCCAATTGCCTGTTAACTGATGTGTGGATAAGCATGGCAATAAAGTAGTGAATGATACATCCTACATGGATGAACCTTGAAGACATTATGCTAAGTGAAAGACGCCTTAGCGACCACATATCATGATTCCACTAACATGAAATGTCTGGAATAGGCAAATCCATGGAGAACCCAGTTGATTAGTGATTGCCTAAGACTGAAACAGGAGGAGGAGCGCAAAGTGAATGCTAGTAGTTAAAGGATTTTTTTATAGCAATGAAAATGTACTAAAATTAGATAATAGTAATGGATTTATAACTTTTAAAAACCATTAAATTTTATACTTAAAGAGTTAATTTTACTGTTGGGTTACCAAGACAGGTCACTTAATATCATAATTTTTAAGGCATTCTTTCCTCTGTTCTTTCAGTTTGCCTTTAATGAGTAACTATAATGTGCCAGATCCTCTTCTAATCTCTAAGAGCATAATGGTTCACCAGCTTAGTCCCTTGGAACCTGTATTTTAGCAACTATAGAAAGAATGGAAACTTATTGAATGTGAGGTCATATGAAGGTGATGATTTGGCCCTATCCCTAGGTATGGAGTTAAGTGTGCAAAGTTAGAATGACCACCAGCAGGCTGGGAGATTGTGGCTAGCTGACCTGTTTCTTTTTAGTTTCTTTTCTTTCTCTTTTCTGCTGTATTTGCAACCCTCTTAGCAAAAACCTAGAAGGGTCATGAGAGTATACCTGTTCATTTTGAACTGCTTCCGAGACCACCATAGCTGTTACTAAAGTCCTTGAGCAGTGCTATACTTGAACTCCTTTAGTCCAGCAGTTGCCTTAGCTTTTTGAACAAAAAGAAAGCCTTTGTTCTTCCATCTAACCCACTGCTATGTCTCCTTCCTTGTAATGAGGGAGTTTTTCAAACGTCTTAATTAAGGAAACTCCCTTTTCTACAGATGTTTTCAGACTTCCACACCAAACAAGAAGTTTCCATAGAAGATGGGAAGAGTGAGTTGGTACAGATGGGGTTAGTCAGCCTGGGCAGGGAATCTGCTTTCTTGAAGTTCCTGCCCATGATGTGACTTGTTCGAGCCCCTGCCCCATTCAGGAAAATCTGGCAGCCCTCTTCTGGCTTTTCTTCCAGTAATTAGTAGTTCTGCAGTTTGATGTATTCTTGCTTCTGTTTGTAGATAAGATGCAGTATATTCAAGCTGAGAAAAACAACAGGGGCCCGATGGAGGCTGCCTCACTTTTCCTACAGTTCCTTTTGGAACTCCAGGAGGAAGGATGGTTCCGTGGCTTTTTGGATGCCTTAAACCAAGCAGGTGAGTTCATTCTTCTTACAAATCAGAGCTTATTTCTTTGTTTTGTCAGAATGCTATAAAAGTGAAGAGCTAATAATTTTGAGGTATTCAAAATACTATTTTCAGGCTCATAACATACTTGTCTATCTGAAACATCCAAAGGAATCTACAGAGATTTTTGTAACTAATGTGAGAGGTTAGCAAGGTCATTGGATGTAAGATCAGTATACAAATCTAGTTGCATTTCTACCTGGTGGAAGCAAACAGAAATGAAATGCCATTTATAATAGTAATAAAAAGATGATGTACTGGGGAATAAATCTAACAAAATATTTGTAAAATCTGGATGGAGAAAATGATACAATGTTAGTGAGAAACATTACAGACATCCTAAGTAGAGAAGTACATCCCTGCACATGGAAAGTAAGACTTGATACCATTATAATGTCAGTTCACCTTATTTTTATCTGTATATTTAATGCAATTCTAATAAAAATCTTATATGCCTTTCCAATGGGCTTAACAAACTGATTTTAAGATCTATATGAAAGAATCATGATCTCAGAATAGTCAAGACACCTTTGCATAAGAATTAGGTAAATTGGCCTTTCCCTTCTGGGTGTTGAGATTTATTAAAAAGCTGGATATGGTGGCATGCGCCCATATTTTCAGCTATTCAAAATTATTGCTTGAATCCATGAGTTTGAGACCAGCCTAGGCAACATGGTGAGACCATCATCTCAAAAACAACAACAAAACTACGGAGTTTCTTACAGAGACCCACACTTCTGAAGACCACTGGGAACAGAGGATCACTGAGAAACGGGGAACTATTCAATAAATAGCAGTTGACCATTATAATTGAGATAATGTTAAAAAACAAATACACCCTAACTTTCAGATCCACATAGATATAAATAAATTTGTATTTCTTATGAATTTAAGAGAATTTAAAGACTTAAATATAACAGCCAATTTTTAAGCCATTTTAGAAAATAACAGAATAGTTTTCTTACATGAGGGCATGGCAGGATTTGTGAAACAAGATATTAAAGCATTAACCATAAAAGAAAGCTTGGTAAAAGAAAGCATTAGCCATAAAAGAAAGCTTGAACTGTTCTTAATTTAATGTTTTCATAAGTCACTTAAAGAAAGTAAAAAAAAAAAAAAAAACAAGTCACAAGGTGGGAGAGGATAATTGTAAAATATATACTTACCAAATAATATTTTAAAATCAATCAGGAAAAGGAAGAAAACACTCACTGACCAAAAGATGTGAACAGATATTTCAAAGAACAGGTTATATGAAAGGTGAATAAATAAATGAAAAGATTCTCAGCCCATTTAGCAATTAGGAAACTATAAATAGGAACCCACTGAGGCAGCATTTTTTTAACTACTCCACAGCAAACTTAAGTCCAACAGTGTGAAGGTGTGAAGAAGACATTTAATAATGGAAAATCTTAAATATTGCTTAAATATTGCTATATACATAAACAGACACAACTCTTTTGAAAAACAATTTGACATTGTCTGGTAGAATTCAACTGTCATTTTTCCCTTTTTCCAAGTTTTATTCTTTAGTTTATGCCCTAGAAAAATATACATTTCAGAATACACATACCATAATGTTTGTAGTATGATTGTTTGTAATAACAAAAGCAAGCAAACAAAACTGGAAGCAACCCCAATATCCTCATAGAGAAGAATGGAAAAGCAAGTTTTATAATGTTCACACAGTAGTCCATTAAACTACAATAAAAATGTGTGAACATACCTCTAGATGACAACTCAGAGAAATCTTAGAAATGCAATATTTAATTTTTTAAAAAGCCAGAGAAGCTTAAATGTCATAGGATATAATATTTATGACGTCCCAAACAAATTAAACTAAACATACATTGTTTAAGGAAGCAAACATATGTCATGTGACCATTCCCAAACAAACAAATCAGGAGTGATATATCAAATACACAATAGTGATTTCTTTGGTGAAGGGATAGAAAACTGGGGAAGAGAAGGTATACACAAATGTTAAGATATTCTTGTTCTTAATATAAGTAGTGGGTTCACATGTGCACATTTTGGTGTGTTTTTTATGTGTTACAAATATTCTATTATGTTATCAACCATTGCAAAGCTTTTTTAAAAAATATTTATTTTTTAATTGTAGTTGGACACAATACCTTTATTTTATTTATTGTTACGTGGTACTGAGGATCAAACCCAGGGCCTTGCCTATGATGGGCGAGCGCTTTACCGATGAGCCACAACCCCAGCCCTGTTGCATATCTTTTAAATTTCTATTTTTAGAGCTATGATATGTTTCTCAGTCTTTCTTGTCCACACCTATAAAGTCAGTCTTACCCAGAGATATGAAAGACATCTTGGAAATCATGTGACCCAACCTCCCTCCTGTACATGAGGAAACTAAGGCCTTGAGAGGAGGTTTGCTCAGGTTCAAACAGATAACTGGCATTTTTGCTAGAGTTAGAATGTAGGTCTACTGATGGCTTTCTGTTGGGGTAATTTGTTGCACTGAGATATTAGACTGTGAAGAGTAGGCATTGAATTTCAACACCAAATCAGCCACTTAACTATTTAAGGGATTTTAGCCAAGTTACTTGCCTTTCTGATTCTCCAGTTTACTCATTTGTCAAAGAAACCAAAGGATAATTTTCTTTTTGTGTTGTAAACAATGAGTAAGAGACACATATATGAAGAACCTAGCCCAATGCATACAAAGAGGCACTAATCAAAATACATTTGTTATACAATTATTATTTGCATTGTAGTAGAATGATTTAAAACCGGGCACATTAAGGAAAACTTGTCATTACTACAGGAAAACAAATTCTGATGATGAGGTGTCTTCTATTACCTGTGTCCTCATATTGTAACACCAGTATGTTAAATTTGCACAATGTTAAAAGCAAAACACACACTGTCCTTCCCTAGGTATTAGAATTCCTCAAGAGGCCCACATATATATAATCAGTATAATTGCAGTTCTTTTATGAAAAATGATGTGGTTTTATTTTTCAAAAAAATTTAGGTGAAAATGTTTAAATATTGGTTCCAATATTGTGAACTGAGACTTTTCTGCTTTTGTTTATAGGATTAAAAGTTGTTGACTTATTTTCTTTCATTTCCTAAACTTGCCTTAAAATTTCTCTAAATTTGTTACTGTAATATATGCCTATTTATTCCGAACAATTTAAATGGTACAGAAGGGTCAAGTGAGCCTCCTTCTGTTTACCTTTCCCACTACCTCTTATACAACCCTCTTCAGAGAAACCACTGTTTCTCCATTTGGGGGATATACCTAATCTAGGTTATTATGAGTTACTAAAACCCCTTATTAATTTATAAGTAAAAATGGCACTTCTAAATTCTACTTTAAAATAAAATGAGGTTTAGCAATAAAAATATAAGAACAAATAGGCAAGAAAAGAAAAAAAAGTAAATTTGAACAGGAAGAAATAAAATATCTTTGTTTGCAGATGAGATGGTTTATGTAGAAAACTGTAACAATTTTAAAAGAACTGTTAAAACTGATAAATTCAGAGAAGTTTCAGGATACAATATCAATAACCCAAATCAGTTGCTTATCCATATATTATGTAACAACCCAAAAAGTTATAAGAAAATAATTCCATTTATAATAGCACCAAAAATAATAAAATGCTTAGGAATAAACCTAACCAAGTAGGTGAAAGACTCATACCCTGAAAACTATAAAATATTGCTAAAAAAAATGAAAGAAGATAGAAATAAATTGAAAGACAACCCATGTTCATGAATTACAAGATGGTCTTAATTTTAGGGGATTGCTACTATCCAAAGTAATCTACTGACTCAATGCAACCCTTTCAGAATTCTAATGGCAGTTTTTTGCAGAAATAGGAAAATTTATTCTAAAATTCATGGAATCTCAAGACACCTTCAAATAGTTAAAATTGTGAAAAAAGAAAAAACAAATGCATAAGACTTACACTTCCTGATTTTTTGAAACATATTTTATTGCTAAACCTCATATAGCAATCAAAAGAGTGTGGAACTGGTTTTGGAGACAAATACACCAATATCCCAGAAATAAACTCTACAGAGTATAATGGTCAAATGTTCTTTAACAAAGGTACCAATACCACGCAATGGAGAAAGCACAGTCTCTTTCACATATGGCGTTGGAAAACTTGATACTCATATGGAAAAGAATGAAGTTGGACACTTATACATATGTTAGTGCTCTCCAGAAAAACAGAATCAGTAGGTTATAGTGTGTGTGTGTATGTCTGTATAAAGGGATGTATCTGTATACATAGGTGTTATATATATGCATGTGTATCTACGTATAAGTATAGTGGGAATCAGCTCATACAATTGTAGAGACTGAAAATTCCCATGATCTGCTGTCTGCAAGCTGGAGAACCAGGAAAGTCAGTAGTATAATTCAGTCTGAGTCTGAAAACCTAAATACCAAAGGGCTGCTGGTGTGAGTTCTAAAGTTGTAAGATCAAAGAACTAGGAACACTGTTGTCTCAGGATGAGAAAATGGATGTCTGAGCTCAAGAAAAGAGAGAAAGTGCCCTTCCTCTGACTTTTTGTTCTATTTGTGTCCTTGACAATGGATTGAATGATGCCTGTGTACATTTTACAATATTTACTCAGTCCACTGATTCACATTCTGGAATAACCTTCACAGATGTACCCAGAAATATTTTACCAGCTATTCGGTCATTCCTTAGTCCAATCAAGTTCATACAAAATTAACTATCACACACTGTATACAAAAATTAATTCAACCTTAGTTAAAGGCATAAAACTCTTAGAAAAAAACAAGGGGAAAACATCATGACACTGACTTTGGCAATGATTTCTTGGATATGACATCAACTTGATAAATAAGAAAAGGAGAAAATAGATGAGTAAATACCCATCCCTTTAACATGTTATATCTTTACTATGGGATAATATATAGTAGTCAAAAGGATGAAGGAGATCTATTCAGGAATACTGTATTAGGATATAATATTATATAAAGGAATCAAGTTGCAGAAATAATGTGCATCATGCAATTCCATTTTGTAAAAAAGGACAAACCCAGATTATATATGGGTTTTTCATGGAACTTCATTGAAAAAATATGAAAGGAAACTAAACTGTTAATGTTCATTATCTCTGTGAGGTTGGAGAGGGCAAGAGTTTCAAGTGCAAGACGATTGTAAAATTTTCAACCTATATGCATTGCATGGTTTTAATTTCTGACTACTTAATTAAATATTGCATATATGGTTTTTTAAAATTAAGAACGAACCAACAATTATCTGGCAGTGTCTTAAGCTTTTTTAATTTTATAGATTCAGCAATATTAAAAAGTTATAGAAAAGCATATGTAACAAAGCAAAAAATAAATGAAGCTATATCAACTCTTGAAAACTTTTGTGCATCAAAAGACACAATCAATAGAATGGAAAGTGAACCCATGAATTGGAGAAAATATATACTAGTCAACATCTGTAAGGGATTAATATCCAGATTATATAAAGAACGGTAACTCAACAAAAAATCCAATAACATGATTAAGAATTAGTCCAAGGACTTCCTGTTTCTTCATATGTAATATACAAATGCTCAACAAACATATGAAAAGATGCTTAGCATCACTAAGCATTAAATAAATGAAAATTAAAACTGTAATGAATTTTCATCTCACATTCATTATGATAACTTCTATCAGAAATTCAAAGTAACCCATATTGGTGAGATATGGAGAAATGAACTCTTGTGCACTATTGGTAAGATGGTAAAATGGTATAACTTATGGAAAACAGTATGGAGAGTCCTTTCAAACCTTAGAGTCATCATATGATCCAGTAATACTAATTTTGGCATATTTCTGAAAGAATTGAAAGTAGCATCTTAAAGAGATATTTGCACACCCATGTTCATAGCAGCATTATTCACAGTAGGTAAGAGATGGAAGTAAACCAAATTTCCATCATCAGATGAACAGATAAATGTAATGTGGAATTGGGTCAGGGATGTAGCTCAGTGGTAGAGCACTTTGCTTAACATGTGCTGAGGGCCTAAGTTGATCCCATACACAAAAAATATGTTTATACATGGAATATTATTCAACTCTTAAAAAGAAGGAGCTGGATGCAGTGTTGCATGCCTGTAGTCCTCATCAACTTGGGAGGCTGAGGCAGGAGTATCACAAGTTCAAGGCTAGCCTCAGCAAATCAGCAAAGCCCTAAGCAAGTTTGTCTCAAAAAGGGCTGGGGATGTAGGAATTAAGATTTATGTTTCATTTTGCCTTCTTTACTGCTTTGTACTGAGAAGATAGACATGAGAATTTGATTTATTTAAAGGCAAATCAGGAGTTGTAGGTGGAATTCATGGAACATTTTGGAAGATTTTATACTAAGGCCAAATATAAGACTTCATGTTTGTCCTTACTTTACTATTTTCTCCTAAAAGATAATAAACATTGTTGGAAATCCTAAACTTATTGGGGAGCTAAGATGCATATTATTTTATTTTTGAAAAATCATTAATGACAGGTAATTTATAGGTGTTTTTGAGTTCTGTCACTTTACATTTAAACGTGATTGTAGGATATTAACATCAAAGTATTTCTTGTTACTCTCATAAAAGTCCTCATTTTCTTTCTTTTCAGGTTATTCTGGACTTTATGAAGCCATTGAAAATTGGGATTTCAACAAAATTGAAAAGTTAGAAGTGTACAGAACACTTTTAAAACGTTTGCAACCAGAATTTAAAAACAGAATTATTCCTTTAGAAATCCTTCCTGAACTAGCTGAATGTTTAATTAGTCAGGAATGTGAAGAAATTAGACAGGTAAGTTGACATAAAATACTAGATTTGGAGGAAATAGAATATGGGATGTAGCTTTTGTTTTCTATACTATTTTAAACCTAAGAAAGATAATTGAAACTAAAAAAAAAAAATCCTCATGTCTAAGGTATTATTTCCTAAAATAGTACTTTTAACATGAATTGAGTAATTTTTATGTCAAAGTTTTAAAGTTTGACCTATTTTCAGTTAAAATTACCTCATTACTTTTCTGAATAATGTTTAATGCAAATTTAAATAAAACTGAACTGTTCAGCAAATGAAAAAGGCTATAGGCTAGGAGTTAAGAATTTAGGCTCTGGACATAAATAAATTTTATTAAATTTGTAGTGTAACTGTGTACTAGCAGTGTGATCCTGGGCAATTTATTTAGCTTCTGTAAACATCTGTGTCTTCATGCATAAAGTGGGAACAATTATAGTACCTAAATAATATGGTATTTTTATAAGGGTTAAATGAGATAGTATATGTAAAGTGTTGATAGAAGCCTGACAGATAGTATATGTGCAATAAATTTTAGTTACTACGATTAACAATAAAGTCATGTAAATTCCTCTATCCTGAAGAAAACCACTTGTTAATATTATAATCATCCTAATATCTATTTATGCCAGTCTATCTCAGAGGAGATGGGAAATCTTGGTTTGAAATAATGATATCATGTTTAAAGGACAAGAATGAAGGAAAGAATATCTTAAGTGATAGTGTTGAATGGGGTAAAAATGGCAATAACGAACACCCATAGGTCCTCAATTTGCAATGATTTTTAAATCAGATAATACTTGAAAACTCATAAATGGAAAACATTTTTGAAATAATCAATAAACTGTATTTTCCTTGCTTAGACTTGTTACAACAAGGGGATGATAGCAGGTTCAGAGAAACTGATCGAATGCCTTCTGAAATCAGACAAGGAGAACTGGCCCAAGGTTTTGAAACTTGCTTTGGAGAAGGAACAGAACAACCTCAGTGAAATGTGGCTGGTAGAGAAAGGTAGGGCGTGCCAAGAACAACTCAGAAAGGGAAGAGGGAAGGTTTAGAAACTCGACTCAACTTGGGACTTCCCTATTCCCACCTGTTTTTACTTATTCTCACAGGCACTTTTCCCTTCAGATACCTAAGGCTATATCTCTACTAAGAGGCCAGCATGATGCTGAGTTGTGGGAAGGAGGTAGCTACTTGCCTATGGATTTGGTTTGTTTGTATGTAACTCCTCAACATGGAGCAGAACAAACTGCTGTCATCCAGAATTAGCCCATCAGGTCCAAAGAATTTGGTGCAGGCAGGTTCTGAGCTTCCAGTTTAGGTTATCAGAGAAATAGCTTGTGTACTTTGAGTTGAAGGTTCAAACTCCAGGACTTACCTCTTTTTAGAGTAGAATCATGATAGACACTGCCTGGTTTTCTCACCTGGCAGCCATCTGGAAGCGAACAAAACGTGTGAATGAAGAAGAATCTGCTGCGATTGTCTGTGCCATCATTTGGCTCCTTGAGACTGACATCTCAGAGCCTTGCCTTACAGGCTGAGTTTGGTAAACATCTGAGTGTCTAGTCTTGGTTTCAGCTAGACTTCTATTGATTAAAAGTTGTTGTTCGGGAATCTATATAAATACACATCTACTTTCTTGGGTCAGGAATTAGTCAGAGATGGGAGACATGAATGTCTGCTAAGAAGAAGCTTCTCTTCTTTAGTGTACATATGAATTCCTTGGAAGCTTTTTTAAAATGCAGATTCTAATCCAGTAGGGGCTTAAGATTTGCATTTCTAACAAGCTTCCAGAGTTACTGGTTCCATGTTTTATACCTTGAATAATTAGTTCTTTGTGTGGTGCAGGGGATTGAATCCAGGCCCTTGTGCATGTCAGTCAAGCATTCTACCAACTGAGCTATATCCCCAGCCCTACAATAATTAGTTCTAAATGACTTTGGAGTTCAAATATCAAATGGAGACTTCACACTCAAGATGATTCTCTTAATTGTTTTGAGAAGTGAAGGGATGTGGTTGTGAGAAATTAATGGAAGTTTAAAATTTTATCAAAACTATAATCAGATTACATTAAGATTATAAGTTCTTCCTTTGTCTATTCACACAGGTGAAAAAGATATTGAAAATAAAGATCTGGAGGATGATGAAATGGAAACTTCTGAAATACACATTTTCTTCCAGGAAGATCCAGAACACCAGAATCTTAGTCAGAATTCCCAGGCACCCTCAGGTACTGGCATTGCTTGTTCTTTTTCATAATGGGGTTCTTCAGGTATTTGTGGGGGGATATATTTTGCACTGCCAGAAGTCACGGCCTTGTGATTTTTTTAAAGGAAGGTTAATAAAGAAAAGATAATTTAAGTTAAAATAGATACTTTATGGTTAGAATTGTCATTTGATTTTCTGTGACTGCTTCTTCTGCTTTTAGCTTATCTTTTTTTTTTTCTTCATTCTTGTTTTATCACCAAGAAATTATTGTGGCTACATTGAATTATGGCTACATTGAAAAGGCAGAGTCCTCTCAGAACCTTAGTGTCTGAAAAATCCGACAGCGGCCTTACTTTCTGAAAAAATACTTGTGTTTGTTAGCCACTTGTTCAGTTTCCTTCTAAGATCCCAGGGCTGCCATGCCAGCTATGTGCACTGCACAAATGTACCTGACTGAGAACCAGCCTGTAGTATTTGCCAGTGCATGGAGGGATTGTGTCCTACCAGAGGGCTCCTTGTTTTCAAACATCAGGCAATGTATAAGTACTTATTAATGGTCCTGTAAGGCCCCCTTATGTTGTTTTTTTTTGTTGTTGTTGTTGTTTTCTATGGACCTGTATTTATTTATTTGTATGGGATGTTGAGAATCGAACCCCGTGCATCACACATGCTAGACAAGTGCTCTACCACTAAGCCACAACCCCAGTCCCCCTTAAGTTTCTTGAAATATATTTTCATGATCATCTTATGAAGAGACCAGAAGGTTATGTAATATGCCAGAATAAAATGATATTTATAAAAGGATATAAGGAATGAAATTAGGATTAATAATAAGTAGTGTTTGAAGAAAAAAATGCAAATTTTAGGATAACATGAAAAGAAAATTTGCGTGTTACTTCTTCGACTGAATGATACCAGTTTCTTGTCACTCTGATATAAAATGGATAACGATAAGTTGATTTAAATATTTCTGAGATGTAAAGATCCTGATGTGTCATTTAAGTGAAGTTAATTCTCTTAATCTTTTAGAAATTCTCCCTTTTTTAAAAATGGGTAAATTAGACTCTTTAGACCAAAGACTTTTCACGCTCTTAACATGTCATATTCTTACCTGGTATTGAGATAAAATCTCTGAATATTTTTTAAAAATTTGAGAGCCTGAAAAATTACAAAGCATGGTTATTCCCCAAGAAGAAATTGCTTTGAGAATCTGTATTAAGTTTGTTTTCCTTTAATGATCTTGGAGGGCATTTTTGTCTTGTTCCATATAGTGTTGCCTATAACTAACTGGTGGTCGTCTGTCTTGCCCTGAATTAGGCCATTCTTGCTTTGCATTCTCTTTATCGGGATTCTGTATTGTTTAAGAAAGAATTCATTCCAATATTTTCCCCCTTCTTGCCATCGATACTTTGGCATTGAGAGAAAATTCTTCACTTCAAATGATTGGAGAAAGCTAGAATGGTTAATGAGACAAGATTCTAAGGAGATTGAGACAGGATAATCAACCAAAACCTTTCTTGCTACAGTCAGATTCATGTCCATTTGACTTCAGCTAATGCCATGATTCCTTAGAGCGGTAACCATTGGTAATTTTTTTTCCTTTTGTATCATAGAAATGTCTCGAACTAACTTGAAACCAAGAAATTACCAACTAGAGCTTGCTTTGCCTGCTAAGGAAGGAAAAAATACAATAATATGTGCTCCTACTGGTAAGCCAATCACTATTACTCATACCTCTCTGCTCCCTTTCCCCCTTTTAAAAAAAAAAAGAGATTTATTTATTTATTTATTTTTAATTTGTTCTACTTAGTTGTACATGATAGCAAAATGCATTTCAATTCATTGTACACAAATGGAGCGCAACATTTCATTCTTTGGTTGTACCCAGTGTAGAGATGCACTATTTGTGCAATCATACATGTACTTAAGGTAGTGATGTCCATCTCATTCCACCATTTTTCCTGCCCTTATAACCCCTTTCCACCCTCCCCTTCTTTTTTCCCCTTTTATTGAATACTGGCAATAAGGAAGATTCAGTTTTTTTCCTGTTCCATTTGTCTTTGAGAAAACTATCCTATTAATGTAGTCTCACATATTTTAAGGAATTTGAACAATGAAATTGAACAATGAAAGAAAATGAATTTGAACAATGAAAGAAAAATGCCCTCTTTTAGTATGCTTTTGATCCTGGTTATTCAAGTGCAGGTAACTTGGGAAGTTGCTTGATTATTTTTTAGTTATAGCTTAAATTCTGCAGTCGTTCATCCCTCTAAATGATCAGTTTACTTACCTGCCCACTGGTGTTAGGAGAGCCAAAAGAAACACCTTTCTATAGCACTATCTAATACCATGTTACATGTTTTCTTTTTCCTTGTTTATTAAAAGGTTGTGGGAAAACCTTAGTTTCACTTCTTATTTGTGAACATCATCTTAAAAATTTTCCACAAGGACGAAAAGGGAAAGTTGCTTTTTTTGCTAATCATGTCCCTGTGTATGAGCAGCAGAAGTCTGTGTTCTTGAGCTATTTCGAAAGGCTTGGGTAGGTATAACAGTCAGTCCAACTCCTTTTTTTCTACCTTTAATCAATGAATGTGTTTTCTGTTTTGCTCTTTTAAAGCCACAATTTTAAAAAAAATTGTAATAGAGATTCAGCTTTTATATAACCTAGATGTAATTCAGATTGCTTTTGTTAGCTATGCCAGAAATCCTAATCTGATTTGCTCTTACAGGGTGATTAAATGATTAATTGATAAGTTTGACATTTAAATGGCACATTTGATTTCTTTGATGATTTTATAATTTATTTGACAGTTCCTTGTAAGTACTCTTTTTTTCTTTTAGTGACTTGAAAAAATAATATATTCTATCAGTTATAATGAGTTTGCATTGGTCAATCACTTGCTCTATGTCAGGATATATTCTTTTTGAACTTAGGGAGAACTTCATCAGTTGCTCTTCTGATCTAGTGCTTCATCTTTGTGTTTCCTCATTCAGGAGGATGGTAACATAGGATTTCTGTCTCTTCCCAGGTACAGTGTTGCAGGCATTTCTGGAGCAACAACTGAAAATGTCCCAGTAGAACAGACTATCAAGAACAATGACATCATCATTTTAACACCCCAGATTATTGTGAACAATCTCAAAAATGGAACTATTCCATCACTGTCTGTCTTTACTTTGATGATATTTGATGAATGCCATAACACCAATAAACACCACCCATACAATATGATCATGTTCAATTATCTAGATCAGAAACTTGGAGGATCTTCAGACCCACTGCCCCAGGTATCTTCAAAATCAGATGTACTCCTCAGAAAAGCTATTATCTTCCTAAATCCTCCTTTACTTACTTTTTTTTCCTTTTGGTACCAGAGATTGAATTCAGGAGTGCTTAACCACTGAGCAACATCCCCAGCCCTTTTTTGTATTTTATTTAGGGCAGGGTCTCACTGAGTTGCTCAGGGCCTTGCTAAGTTGTTGAGGCTGGCTTTGAACTCAGTAATTCTCCTGACTCAGTCTCAGTGCCACTAGTATTATAGGTATGTGCCACTGTACCCAGGCCTATTTACTTACTCTTGTGGCTACATTTGAGGTTGTTCCATGTCCCTTTGGACATGGAAGGCTGACTATACACATCATCCACCTCTCTGTGCCTTACATGGTTCTCAGGACTGGGGGTGCAAATACGTAAAGAAATAATTCTTGTCCTCAAACACCTGAGTTTTCCTGGGGAGACAGTTATGTAAGAATTATGTCACAATTTATCATAATGGTGTGTTGTGGAGATAGGTATAAGGTACAGCCAGAACAGGAGTGAAAATACTCCTATGTGTGCTAAAAAAAGTAAGGCAAGACCTGACAGAAGTTGGGTTAAGTAGGGCTTAGAGGCTGAGGCAGGAAAATTGCAAGTTCTGGGATATTTCAGCAACTTAGCAAGATCATCTCAAAATAAAAAAACCAAAAAGGACTGAAGTTGTATCTCCGTGATAAAGGGTCCCTGAGTTCAATCCCCAGTTAAAAAAATAAAAAAGGCAGGGGGTGAGGGGCTAGGCAGAAACTAATAGGAGTTTGCCAGGTAGATGGCTGGATGGTTTTCATTAAGAGGGTGCTGTGTGTCCAGAGGAAGAGTTCTGAAAGAGCCTGGTGTGCTCCAGAATCTTGAGATTCTTCAGTGATACTTGTGTATAGAGTGTGAGGTAGGGAACAGCCGTAGGCAAGGCAGAATGAAAGGGGGGGGGCAATGCCTGGTAGAGCAAGATGCCTGGAGACACCAGAGGGTGTGGGGTTAGTGGGCAAGTGGATGCATTAGTGTGGGAGGAGAGGAATGACATGTTTGATGTCATATCAGAAGGGTCGATTCAGAGAGTCGTTATTACATGGATTAGGAAGCAAAAGAAATCTCTGGTGTATAACTTCTCTTTTGAACATTGCTGAGTATCATCGATATATGAAAGGGAGTGGGAGCTGGGGAGAGTGGAGAGAATTTGAAATCTGAGGAAGAACTGTAAGAGACACTGAAAAATTCCTTGATTGTATGAGGGACTCAAATGTGGTTGGAAACTATGGATTTATGGTATATCAGTCTGCACATATGTCAAGTTCAACAGCCCTAATAATTATCCATCTGGGGAGTGCAGGTTAAAAGAAATTTAGTATGGTGCTCACAGACCAAAAATAGAACCTTTCCATATAAATCACCTTTCTTATAGCCTATTCTTCTAGAATAACTTTGATGTTAATTACATTTCTTGCTGGTTAGATGGTTATTTAATGATTATTGCACAGCTGTTGGAGGGAGGTAGCTTACTAAATCTGCACAGATACCATTGCAAATAAATAGCTATGATTTCCCAACTTTACAGAGAGCTGCAGGTGCTTGTCCAAAGACACATAGTTATTGTGACATGGCTGAGATTGGAATGGATTTGTGTCAATTTCAGTCCTTTTCCTTTTCAGTATGATGTTCTCCACATCATAGGGGACACAAGGCAAAAGAAAAGAGAATCCTTGCCCTGAAAGTTTTCCCTGTCTCAGTTTCTAGGCTGCTTAGTGTTTAGCTGAGCTGCGACTCTTGTACTCATGCTTTGCTGATTGGGACCTTTTTATTTGTAATTTCATAGAGAATGTTAGGGGAAAAAAGCTAATGTTGGAATGGTCTTACAGGTTGTTGGGCTGACTGCCTCAGTTGGCGTTGGGGATGCCAAAACCACAGATGAAGCCATGCTTTACATCTGCAAACTGTGTGCTTCTCTTGATGCAACAGTGATAGCAACAGTCAGAGACAACTTGGAGGAACTGGAGCAAGTGGTTTATAAGCCCCAGAAATGTAAGTGGTATCCAAGAACAAGCTCTTGGGAATTTTTAACACTCTCTGCTACCCCTAGTTCAGGGTGATTTACACGAACACTGAACTTTGGCCCTTTATTTGTTTAGGAGAAAATATTTAACCCCAAACCTGGGAAACAGTCATATAACATTTCCAGTCTTTCTTCCTGTGTTGTCTTCCCTCCACATGGATGAACATTAGAAATGGCCTATAAGGAGCAAAAATTTCTACTTTGGCTCCATAAAACCCAGATAAAGGTCCTAGCAATGTGAATGAGAGGATGAGAAAATCTAAGCAGGTAGAAAGCCAACGGCTGGCCTAGTCCTTCCCTGTGCTCCATGCCTGAGCCAGGTACTGTGTGGTCATCATCATTTAAATACATATCTGAGGGCTGGGATTGCAGCTCAGTGGTAGAGCACTTGTCTAGCATGTGTGAGGCCCTGGGTTCGATCCTCAACATCACATAAAAATAAATAAAAGTATTATGTCCGTCTATAACTAAAAAAAAAAATTTAAAAAATATGTATCTGATAAATGTAGTTTAAATTATCTGAATTCACCTTCTTTGACCTCAAAAGATCAGAATATTATCTTTAAAATAAGATCGACTCACAAATATTTGTTGTTTATTGACTTTATTATTATACTAATCCTGCAAGGGCAAGAGAGATTCAAGAGATACACCCTTGCTCTCTGAGCAGCACAGGACTGTATGAGTCTAAGGCAAAACAAATACTTATGTAATCTGGGGGACACGGGTAAGTTCCTGATGGGGAACAATCTGTAAGGAATGGAGAGAAGGTACCCAGCATTTTAACATCACGTATAAATTTCTTTGTAATCTGGCCCCTCCAGCCTTCTGAGCCTCCTCTCTTCCCAAATCCCATAAACCCAACCATGTTGCATTCCTCTGAGTTCCCACATGTGCCATGAGCTTTCTCCCTTTGAGCTCTTGCCCATGCTGTCCTTTCCCCATGACTACTCTTGCTCCTTTCTTTCTTCCCATAGTTATTCAACAACACTGCCTCCCCCCAAAACATTAGCTATTCTGCTCCTGTACTCCATGGTACCTTGCCCCTACTTAGGTTATAGAACTCTCCTATGAGTTCAGCCCTCTATGGAGCATGAGTGTGTTCTTTTCAACTGTCTATCACCAGAACATAGCACATGATAGGCAATTAATAAGATTCTGCTGAAAGAATACAACCATGTGTGGACACTCTTGGGGGCTGAGTAGGAAAGGAGAACAGCAAAGCACAGAGACAGGATTCGAGTGTGCCACTTGCAGAACAGGAGGGCTTTGGCTTGTCAGAGGTAACAGGGCAGCTGAGTGAGAAACCAAAGCATGGGGAACAAATGTCAGAGTCAGTGTGGTGAGCAATAGGGAGCCAAGTTTTTTGAGCATTTGTTGTACGATTAAGACCATCTGCCAGTGAACTTGGGATCTCTAATTTTCCAGAGGAAGTAAAAGGTTTGGAGATACCCACATTGAACTACGATTTGTTCTTCCCTAAAAGTACTTACTTGCCTTTGATGGTTCTAGTTTCCAGAAAAGTGGAATCACGGACTACCAACAAATTTAAATTCATCGTATCTCAGCTGATGAGGGACATAGAGAGTCTGGCAAGGAATATCTGTGCAGAATTTGGTGAGTTCTCTTAACTCTCAGTGAGATAAGTCTCATATATTGTGTCCCTTCCATTGGAATAGCCGTAGAGCGTTCACTAGTGGCTTTCTACTTTCTCTTTCACTTAGACAATGTCAACACCATATTTTTTTAAATTTTAATTTAATTTAATTAATTTATTTATTTTTAGGTGGACACAATATCTTTATTTTATTTTTTTAAATGTGTGCTAAGGATCGAACCCAGTGCCTCACGCATGCCAGGAGAGCGCGCTACCACTTGAGCCACATCCCCAGCCCCAGATATGGACTTTCTTAATCATAGGTTATTCAGGAGCCTAATAAGTTCTCCTTTATTCTCTCTTGCCTGTTTTTCTTTTTAAATGTCATGTAAATTGTTTGGACATGCACATCTTGAAAAATACGTTTAAATCAGTTTATCAGCTTTCTTGACCTTCCAAATTAGCTTTCTGTACTGACTTTCCTATTCATATAACATGAAACCACCATTCTCCTGCTGGTGATTAAAACCTAGAGGTGATTTAAAAAAATAATTTTTTAGTTGTCAATGGACCTTTATTTATATGTGGTGCTGGGAATCAAACCCAGTGCCTCAAATATGCTAGGCAAGTGTTCTACCACTGAGCCACAACCCCAGCCACTAGAGGTGATCTTTGGTATATATATATATATATATATTTTTTTTTTTTTTTTTTCATTTGAAATTCCCTCGTGGAGTAACCAAGTTCTGTCCTTCCACTTTTTATTCATTCTTCCATTCATGAAATATTTATCGTTCTAGGCACTGGGCTAGGCAACGGAAATATTGAGATTAAAGATAAAGTCCCACAAGAGAGAGAAATAGAGAGACGTATAGAGACCCTGCCCTCAGGGAACTCAAGAGTCAAATAATGGAAATCTGATGCAAATAGTTGCCACGGGGTGAGAAGTCTCACACTGGGCAGCACAGGAGCACCTGGGAACCTTGTCCTGGACTGGGAAGGGCTTTCTGAGGACCTAAGCTGAGAAAATTCTTGAGGGAGTCAATCATGTCAAGGAGAGAAGCAAGTGAGGTTGGAAGGATAGCAGGCAAGGAAGGAAGAAAGAACACAATGAATTCTAGGAGCTTTTTGCTTTTACCTTTCCTTTTCTTACCAAGCTTAACCTAGGACCCATTCTAATAGCCTTATGGCAATTTTCCCACCTTCACTGTCTCTTCCACTTTATGTTCCATTCATTGGTTGGTTTTCTTGACATACCAAGTTTATGTACATATAGCCTTTTGCCTAGGAAATAATTGTTGAACTCTAATGCACATGGATAATTTGCTTCCCTTTATCTTTACAATTCCAACTTGGATTTAGCCGTTGCTTGAACATGTTCATTCATTCTTTCAGTGCCAAGCAATGTGCTAGGGAATATAGTGTGAAATCCTGAGGTGTAGCTTCTGTCCTCATGAAATTTCCAATCTAAGGGCAAAGCCAAAATTAAGTAGTGAAACTTCTGGATTGGCTGGGTGCTGATCATCAGCTATGTTTCAGGCAAAGGGAACTCAATCTGCCAAGGTCAGCAGACTAGAGAAAGTATGGGGAATTCCATTAGTCCTATAAAGTGAAAGAAGGGAAGTGGAATGGCTAGAGGTGAAAATTAAAAGTAGGTCAAGGCCAGACACCAGAGATCCCTGTTCACCCTTTGTGAATAGAGGCACTAGCCTGTTTTTACTTTAATGAAATACCTGTGACTGGGTAACTGATAAAGAAAAGAAACTTATTTAGCTCCTTGTTTTGGAGGCTAAAAGCCTAAACAAAATGGCACAGGCTCTGGTGAAGGTCTCATGGTGGATGGCATTGGTGTAGGAGTACATGTGAGAGGATGAGATCCCATCTCCAGACAGGAAGCCAGAGTAGAGCCAGGGAGGGGCTTCTTCTTTTTTAACAACCCTCTCACAAGAACTACTTTAGTCCCTTCTAAGGGCAGTGTCTCCTCCTAGGCCCCATCTCTTAACATGGCCACACTGGGACTGATTTTTAAATGCATGAGCCTTTTGATAGCTGCTTAGCCATATCTAAACCATAGCACCAGGGTAGGAGTTTGGCTTGAGGAATCCATTGGAGGCGTTTATGCAGTTGGGAAGCATGGTTTCTCACCTGAAATTTTGTAAACACCCTCTAGCTTCTGGGTGGGGAAAGAATTGAGGAAACAAGGGAAGAGGTGGGGAGAGCAGTTCATTGGTCATCTGGGAGCAAGGTGACATGGTGAAGTGGCAGAGGAACGGAGAGATGGGGTGGAGTCGCATGATTTTCTACTTTCTTATTCCTCTAACCCCTGGTACATTGCCTTCACGCTTTCCATCGTATCCTTTCAATTGGTCATTTCCAAATTGCTTAAGTTGTTTTTACACCTATCCAATTCAGTAAATACTTGGTGGTTCATCTAGTTTCTGTTGGCCATCTTGTTTGTCACTGGGGCTAGGAAAGAGGCATGTTACATGTTAGAGCAGTCTCCTTTGTTCCTCTTTCTAAAAATGAATGGATGAGGGGAATTTTAATGTACTGTTCTCATCTGGAGGAGCCCCAGAGAACTGATATGTTTCAGGCAAAGGGAACTCAATCTGCAAGACCAAGCCATTTGAAAACAGCCCAGGCTTTGCCTTCCTCATCTTTTTCTCCTCAGCCCTAAACAGAGCCTGGACCATAGCAGACTCTGTTTTTGAACCAAGGAGTTGAGGCTTAGCTTAGGGGATGCATACATACAGAGGCGTCCGTAACATGCATCTCTTGAGTTCCTGTTATGTCTGGCCCTCTTATTCTGTTTGACTGCTCTCTGGAGATCAGATGGCCTAAGTTCACAGCAAAGCAGAGCAGGCTGTGTTGAGTCTTGAATATCCTGCTTTTATACACCCTCTGGTGAAGCTCTTGAGACCTGTTATTTTTACTCACTGCTTCTTTATTTTTAAAGGCAAAGTCCCCCTCCCACCTCCCAAGTCCATTGTTGTATCTCTGTGATCCTTTAGTTGTCATAGCCAATAGAATTAGGGCATCAGACACTCTGGGTTTGAATTCTGGCCCTCCCCACTCTTTCTATCTGTGGGACTTTGGGAAATTACTTAGCTTTCCTGAATTTCCTATAAACAACTAGAAAGTGTAATCTCTACCTCATGAGTTTGTGAAATTATGAAAGTAAGACCCTGTGATTCTTGGTACATAGTTGAGGACTCAGTAAATAACCATATGTACACAGAAACACACTGCTTAAGGCTCAGACTGTTGCAGGAGGCATACCCTGTTTAAAGATAGTAAGAAAGGAAATCAGAGCATGGGGCGTGCTAGAACCTTAAGTGATTGACCATATGGCACAGTGAAAAGCTTTTTTTTTCCTCCCCAGGAAACTTATTTCAAACTCAAAATGGGGACTTTGGAACACAGAAGTATGAACAACGTATCGTTGGAGTTCATAAAGCAGGCATGGTGTTTCGACTGCCAGACAAAGAGGAAGAGAGCAGGATTTGCAAAGCACTATTTCTGTATACTTCATACTTGAGGGTATGTTACTTCTTTTCAAAGGCTATTTTAGTCATAGCACCCCCTGGGAGCTGCACTGTGGTAGCCGAGGAGAGTCTATTAACATCTATCTCATCCTCTCCCCAAGAACTCATTTAAGAATCTTTGATTTGAAAGGAAAGTTCTGAGCCAGACATGGTGGTGCATGCCTGCAATCCCAGTGACTTGGGAGGCTGAGGCAGGAAGATGGCAAGTTCAAGACTAGCGTCAGCAACTTAGCAAAACTCTAAGTAACTTAGTGAAACCCTTTTATAAATAAAATATAAAAAGGGCAGGGGATGTGCTCAGTGGTTAAGTGCCTCTGGGTTCAATCCCTGGTGAGGCATTATTTCTGAAATGATAATAGTGGAGGTAACAGGACTGAAACTTGACCATCACTTCAGCAGTCCCATGTTTGACATGGTTGGGAAAAATTGGGTGATGATAAGAAGACATTTTCTTGATATGTGACCAGTAGTAGCCATCTTTAAAGCCTATGTGAGTCCCATTGCCTGAACTTGTGATTTCTTGCTTCTGATAAAGTCCCGTGCTCAGAAATCTAGGGTCTCTGGTTAACCCAGGAACGACAGTAATAATCATCACCTTTGCTCATTGTGTCACTGAAAATATTTTAAAATGCATTCAGTTAGCATGTGTTTGTAGAATTTTAATTATCTTAATTGAATTGGTATAGGAGGTCAGTAATGTCATTCTGAAAGGTGTATTTATGATTTAGAAATTCAACTTCAGAAATTAAGTTGAATGTTTGAATTATAATGTAGGTGTAGAAGTTGATATGCTTTTGTTATTACTTTTTATGATATGCATTTTTCATGAGTTTTTCTACCTGCCCCCTCTTGCCAAGATGGAATTTTAAAATTGAAAGTGCTTCTAATTACTTAATGTTTCTAGCTAACTGAGATTTTTAAAAACTGTATTTGGCTCAAATTTTGATTATAGAACCATCAGGGAACATTCATCTAAAAAACCCAACTGAAATAGACTTAAAAACGAATTCCTTGTTAAGGGCAGCTAATTGAATTTAAGCCGGGCAAATGTGTTAGACGATGGAAATATATTGAAAATCAGTTTTTATTTTAAACAGAAATATAATGATTCCCTCATTATCAGTGAGGATGCACAAATGAAAGATGCTCTGAATTACTTGAAAGACTTCTTCAACAATGTCCGAACAGCGGGATTTGATGAGACTGAGCAAGATCTTACTTGGAGGTTTGAAGGTGAGGGGTGTTTTCTGAGAAGGAAGCCACCAGAGTCTGATAATTCTGAGTGGCAACATACAGACATGGTGTTGTATTTAATATACATAAGTTTGGTGGTGCTCAGGCAGTTGTATTGGGTTTAAGAAGATATTATGGGTCTGGGGTGTAGCTCAGTGGTAGAGTTCTTGCCTAGCATGTGTAGGGCAACAGTTCAGTCCCCAGCACTCCAAAACAAAACAGTGGGACTGGCTTCAGTGAGATCTCATACCTATGGAGAGATTCGGTCGCTGAAACCATTACCTATTTGGAAGAAGGAAAAAGTAGAATTTGCAAAGTATAATTCTCATAGAGTTGATGACATTTTTTTTAACTTTCAGTGATTTTTATAAAAGTTTAAAGAATACAAATAAGTATTCTAATGATCTTTAAAGACTATATGTATATATACCTCTATATGAAGAGGAAATCAAAATGACCCTTAATTCTACTGCCCTCATATTATTACCAAAAATATGGAAACATATTAAGTGAAAAATTTTCTTCCTCTTTCTTTCAAATTTCTTTTCCCAAAGGTAATCATTGTTGTTAATTACCTTGTCCTATACTGAAGTATTTACTATACATATGTATACCTAGTGGTGTGCTGTGCTGATAAACATTTAACAGTTTTCTGGAAAGAATGTGTGCATATATTATACATAAGTTTGTTATAAATTTTATTGATACAGAAGCTATATAGCATGCAACTTACAAATAATAAATACAGTCTCCTTGATTGTAAATTCTACATAGCCAGTTGACTTGTATAAATGGCTTTTAGTGGTTTTGTAGAATCCTGGTACTCATTACCAACTTATGGTTGTAGCTAACAGACAAATATACTTCTGACATGGATGTTGGTATATATTTTCATTAATGTTGGGAGTAAGATGGAAATGAAACAACAGAGACATTGAAGCTTCACTTGTTTGTCAAGGATCTGAGCAGTTTTTTTAAAAATTCTGAATTGGACAATAGTTTTTCAAACCCTGGGAGATTATGTTTATTATTATGATTATTATTATCAGTGTACTCTTAATAGCTAAGTTTGATCTGCATAATTTTCTCATTGCTTTCATAAGTCTAGATTGTCAAGAATATAGATCAAGCACTGATTTTCACTGTTTCCTGACTTTTCTGGTATCAGTATTCCCACTGTCATCAAGTTCAAGCCATCAACATGTTGTCATCAAATGAGTGACCAAAAAAATGAACAGTGCACAGCATTCAGTAGTATCCCTACCATATAGACACAATAGATGTAAATAATTTAAGAGCATATTATAGTAAAAAGTAATAAAATAATTAAGAGATGTGAGTATGGGCTATTTATTACCTTCATTTCTTAATATGTTATTGAGTGGCAAATGTATATCAATTATATAAATTTTAATAATCATTGTATTTAAAGCTAGCTCATGCAACTCTCAAAAATTTAACAATTGACTATCAGTCTGGTATGATCTGGCTCTAGCACACCACAGCTTCATTCATACATGTATATGTATGTGTACACACACACACACACACACACACACACACACACACACATATGGCATGGTACTGAATATACTATCTTGTATTTTGATTTTGTTTTTTTGGTACCAGTGATTGAACTCAGGGCACCTGACCACTGAGCCCCATCCCCAGCCCTGTTTTGTATTTTATTTAGAGACAGGGTCTCACTGAGTTGCTTAGTGCCTTGTTTTCCTGAGGCTGGCTTTGAACTCTCAATCCTCCTGCCTCAGGCTCCTGAGCCACTGGGATTATAGATGTGCAACACCGTGCCTGGCTGTATTTTGATTTTTTAATCTAAAATATCTTTGAAACCGTTATGTATGTATTAATCCCTTATAAATTTTTAAAAATATTTTTTAATTATAGATGGCCACAATATATATATTTATTTATTTACTTTTATGTGATGCTGAGGATCGAACCCAGTACCTCACATATGCCCGGCAAGTTCTCTACTACCAAGCTTCAGTCCCAGCCCAATCCCTAATTAATTTTAACAACTGACATGTATAGCCCATCATGATCTGTTGAACTGTTTCCCACCTTCTGGGCATTTAGGTTGTTTTCTAAATGAAAGTATTGTGACTACTCTTGGAGATTTCTTCCATAATTTTCTAAATATAGTGGTATTTCAAATTCTTAGATATAGAATTATTGTATCAAAAGTTGTGTGAGCTTTATGTTTTAATGGATATTGCCAAATGACCTTCCTAAAATGTACCAACTTACATTGGTAGTTGTTTCTTAGAAAATTTTGGTCTAAGATTGAGAGATTAACTGAACTTTTAGGTCACGATGTGTTATAAATTTTAAGAATTTTGAAGCCATTTGTAAAGTGTTCTCCATTTGCAGAAAAACTGGAGGAACTAGAAAGTGTTTGCAGAGATCCCAGCAATGAGAACCCTAAACTCAACGACCTCTGCCTCATCTTACAAGAAGAGTACCACTTATATCCAGAGACCAGAACCATTCTTTTCGTGAAAACCAGAGCACTTGTGGATGTAAGCCTTCCTTTTTCTTGTGAATGACAAATTGGCCTAGTACCATGTGAAAGACTGCCTTTTACTCACTGCTCAGCAGTCAAGTGTCCATATGTGTGTGAGTCTGTTTCTGGGATCTCTATTCTGGTTTTCTGTTTGTTTATTCTTACCTGAATACCTCACTATCTTAATCACCCTAAATTATAAATCCTGATACCTGTGGATTAAGAACTTCATCTACCCACACAGAAAATTAAATTCTAGCCATTCTATGGATGTGTAATGGTATCTCACAAGAATTTTGATTTGCATTTCATTAGTGATTGAGATGGCTAAACATCATTTATATGCTTTTTAACTTTGTTGGGGTATCTGTTCAGTTTTTATTTTTTGGCGCCTATTTTAAATTTGGATTGTTTATCTTCTTATTGAGGTTTTGATTATTCTTTTTAATGTTCTCACAGAAAGTCCTCTGTGAGACATGTGATTTGAAAATATTTTCTTCTGGCTTATGCCTCCACTCACCCCGCCCCCTGTCACCCAATTTTCTTAACAATAGCTTTTGCAGATTGAAAAGGCCAAAGATTAGTTTATCAATTTTCTCTTTTATGGATTTTGCCTATAGTATATCTAGGAATTCTTTGCTTGTTTAAGGTCCCCCAGATTTTCTTTGTTATGGGTTGAGGTGCTTTCTTTTTCTTTTTGAATATGGACATCCAATTGTTCAGCAATGTATGTTGAGACTCCTTTCTCTATTGAATTGCCTTTGTAACTTTTTTTTAACCAAAAAATCAGTTATCTGTATTTGTTTGGATCTATTTCTGGATTCTTTTTTTTTTTTTTTTTTTTTTTTTTTTTTTTTTTTTTTTTTTTT